AAGTGGTTTAAGAGTGGTAGGCAGTGAAAGTTCCTGTGACTCCTCTTTAGTGATAAGGCCATTGAGACATTTTAAATGACAACATTGGATTGGAACCATAGAAACATCCTGGTGGGAACATGAATTCGAGTAATTGAAAGTGAAGCTTCCAAGATGAAAATATTGCAGAAGTCTAGGGCAAGTAAATGCTAGAGAAGAAGAAACCTGTAGGCAACCTCATTCATTTACCTGCACCCTACCAACTATTTACAATGTCCTTGACCTGATCCTCCTCCACATGATCAAGGACCTTCCTCTTATGCCCTCCTGTTTTCCTTATGTATCCCTTAGTATTGATTATTCCCTTTCTGCCGATAAACACGAAAAGTAGTTCCTCCTATAAACTGCTCCTAGACCACTTTCTTTTCTAAATCCAGTATCTTTCTGTTATTCTTATTTTCACTTGTTGAAAGGCTTTACCAACCTCCTTTTCTCATTTCTTATACCTCTTCAATCTATTGTAGTTTAATTCATGCCCCCAATATTTTTACTGAAATTTATATGATCACCACACTCTACTAGAGTTTTCCTCTATCATTTTACTCTCTAAATTCAAATGCTCCTATTTCTGCAAACTTTGCTTAAATATTGATGTCTCCAAGAGTTCCTTCCTCATTTCCTCTTACTCTACTCACTTTCTCTGGATGATCTACTTTCATTGTTGCAATTGTTGCCTGTTTTCTGATGACTTTGAACCTTTTATCTCCAGCCGCACCCTGCCCCCCCGAGCTTCAGACTTGTATAGCCAACTGCCTGTGAGATATATCTCCACCTGGATGTCCTACAGGCATCTCAAACCCAACATGTTCAAAACGGAATCATCTTTTCCCTGAGCCGGTATCTTCTCAGCCATTCTCTGACTCAATTGCTGGTTCAGCTCTAATCCATCACCCAAGTTAGGAGTCGTCTTTGATTCTTTCGACACCCCCATGCTTCAGATAAGATCTACAGATTTTACTTTTAAAACAGGGCTTGTATTTGTCTCCTTCTCCCTTATACTTGCAGTCTCTGTCCTGGTTTGGGCAAGCTTTTATCATCTCTCACCTGACTTCTGAAAATGTCTCCTGACTTCTCTCCCAGACTTAGTCCTTTTCCCATCTTTCCCCCTCAATGTTATCAGACTTACCTATCGGAAACAAAGATGTGACCATCTCACTTCTCTATAAAATCTTTCGTTGGCTCTCCACGACCTATAGGATGAAGTCTAAGCTCTTACCATGATCTGGCCCTAGCCCACTTTCCCAGGCCCTGATTTTAATTGATGTTCTACAATATACAGAATTGCATGCTGGGGATATGTTGAGTTTGAAGTACTCAAGGGAACCCTAAAAAATGTTCTCCTAGCTCCTTTTACAGTAGTTAGTACAGTGCTCATATAGACACTCAAATATTTGTTGAATTAAATTGCCATTACTAATTTATTAAAAATAGCCATGCTGATAAATTCTGGGATCTGCTATCTAAGCTATCTATATTTGGATCAGTTCCTTTTTCTCTGAAAGTCATTACCTCAGTGTTTTAGATAGGTGAATTTAAAGGCTTTTTTCTTCATTGTGTTTATGACAAACTTTTAAAGCTTGAAGGAGAAAGGGAAAAACTTCAAGCCCATCACATAGAAGAAAAACTTTTCTAGGTCAGCTAAGCTTTTGTTTACATAATTAAAATTAAATAATAAAGAGTATAAGATGAAGATCTAACAATAATGGGAAATCATCTCTGACAAGGAATTGAAAATCCTTTCTTCTTTCCGTGGTGCCAGAATCAAAGGTAACTTGGTGTTATTAGAGCTGGGTAGTAATGCCAGAGGGATTTTTTTTTTTTCCTTTGGCCTGAGTCAAAAGCTGTACACCTGCCAGAAAACTGAGATCTCATGTAAGGTTTATACAGCTGATTAGACTAATTAATAATCACGAAACAGCTGTGGATTTGCCCCTCCTGCAGCCAGGTCTGGGCCGATAATATTTTTGTATCCTTCCCAGGTTTTGGCTTGCTCATAGTAGATGTTTGCCACATAACTAAAGGCACTATCCAAAACCACTCCTGGGCAAAAGCTACCTGGATCCTGTTTGTTGTCCTGCATAAACATTGGGAAAACAAAATTCCATTTCTGCCCATGAAGAGAAACACCTGCTTTTCTAATCAGCAGGAACATTGTAGTCAAAACTGATGTACACCAGTTGGGAAATTGTTTATAGATTCATGGTGACAACATATTCTCTTTCTCGGTGACTTGACAGATGAAAGAGGTGCCCCCAAGACCTCTCATCTTACCTATGGCGACAAGAGCCCATTGAAGCAGGTTTGTTATGTCTATGATAGAATTCCCACCACAAATCAAAGAGGACACATCAAGATCTTACTGTAATGATTATAACAATCCTTCTCAGGTATGTGTGAATCTATTGTGGGAATGGTTTGATTGAACACCAGAAGATACAAGGCTCCCAACCTCTAATTCTTATGGTTCTCGCACAGCTGATTTCAATTCTTGCTATTACTGTATGACAAATCGCTTTGCCAGCTCATAAGATGAGCATTGAGGCAAAAAATGGTTATTATTAACAAATTTCTGCCCTTTAATATGTTTTGCATGAGACCAATAATCTACTTTTCCCTGGCTTGCTACATTAATCATCAAATCATCTTTTGCAAGGGCCTTTAGATTTTCTTGATTTTTTATAGTAAGCTCACAGTGATTTAAGATGTTGGGTGATAGTTTGGAAAGATTATAAAACATCAGGGTCAGCACTAGAAACTTCCTGAGGTACAAATAGTACATATTGTTCAAGACTTAAGTAACAATATGCCTAAGTGATGAACGGGTTAGAATCTTTGTGATGAAGAGAGCAGTTGAGAAAGATGATCTTATCATTCTGTGGTGTAACTGGAAAGGCAAATGCTCCCAGAAGTATTTTAGCTCAAACAAGAAAACTTCAACATGGATAACACTGCTCCAGAACCAACTGAGATAATTTGGACGATACCTAGGTAGCTTGCCAAGTCAACATACGTTAGAAATAGGGCTTAAAAAGCAATTTATACACGATCATTGCACATAATTAAAAAGTCAAATAAGTGACATCTTAAATCATTGTTATGCAAATTAAAGATAATTTTTTTAGTAATATTTAGAAGTCAATATTCTAGTTCTGGTGGTTCAAAGAGTCTTTGTTGTTCTCAAATTCCATGACCATTAGTGTCACTGGTTAATGCTGCGGCAGGAGATACATGTAATGCAATTGTGTGGGAAGGGTATCTTCTGTTTTTAATTGCAGCCATGCTGGAAATCCTTTGGTAGACTTCTCCTTTTTAGGCTTCCAGAGGGACTAAAGATGAAAAAGAAAAACAGATCCCCTCCCCAAAAATACTAATTGAAGACACATTATATAAAAATAAGTAAATAAACAAACCTTTTCTAAAAGAGGCAAAAACCCGATCTGTATGTTGTCTTTCAAAGTCCCCATTTTATGTGGGTTTTGGCAACCTCCGACCAGTTTTCTCAGCCAACTCTGATACTGGGCTGGCTCAGCGGCAAGATTATTTCTTCCTCTTCCAGACTACCTGCTCTTGTGTTCCTAAATCTTGACTTTTTGCAAATCGGATAGGAACTTAAAGGGTGTTCTATTTTTTTGTGGAAGAAAGAAATAGACACACAGTCTCCTACAGTGTAGAAGCTCTCTGCAACAGCATGGCCAAGCTTCAAGTTAGTAGATCAAAACTGAAAATGCCCTGCTCTCCCCGGTGGGTGCAGGCTCTCACTTCCCTGAGATGCAGATGCATTTGTCATACACAATTACATATAAAAAATATAACATAGAGTATTTAGAAGAACCAATACAGTGTCAATAACTTTTGGGTAGCCATAAAAACCTGGGGACCAAAATGGATTCTGACTGTCATTTTAGGGCTGAAAAGCAGGCTCCAAGAATCCTTTAGTTGTCATTTCCCTAGTCAACCCAATGACCGCCTTCTGGTTTACAAGGGGGAGGGGTGCATTTGAGAAAGAAGGAGTGAACCCATATCTGACAGAATGATCAAATGAGACATTTTCCATTGCAGTTTCAGCAGAATTTTCTGAGATCTAGAGCAAACAACAGGAGCCAAGTAACCTCATATATCAAAGCAATATCTGAACAACGTATGCAAAACTTGAAAAAGGGTGGACAAAATCCAGCTTGCAAACCTTTGTCTCGTTAAAAGAGTAGGAGAATGCAGATGAAGGGAGAGAGAGAATTTCAATCTGAGAAGTTGTCCAAAGGCTTGGTGGTCTTCCTCCCTCATAGAGAGTGGCTTCTTCACCCTTGCTTCAAGCCAAGTGGAGGGGCCTTCAAGAGACCAACTTCGAGAGGTGGACATGTGTCCTTTGGGGTTTGTGGAGCATTAGAATTGGTATGAGACACTGTGGCTATAGATCAGCTTTAAGGTGGCTGGGGGAAGGATAAAATTATTTTCTGCTATCACCTTATCAGCTTAGCCTATTATATTACTGACTACAGATAAAATCATTTTAACCACGGGGCGTTGGGGGCTACTCAAAACACAGGTCCACCTGTTTAATGCATTGGATAAACCATGGAGGAAGGTCATTCATGAGTTTAGCACATTAAATTGTCTTGATTTTCAAGCTCCACCAAAGACTTGCTACCTTCTTTGGCCACAATTTCCGGTGGGAGGGTTCAGAGTCTATTAGATAAGGCAAGTGTTCTCCAGGTTTCCATCCTTTTGGCCAGTGATCCTAGTTTTTAAGTGTCTACATAAAAACTAATTCTTCTTTAACTTCTTATTTTTTAGAGCCTCCAGTTGTGATTGCTGCATGTTTTGGCTGAGTGACGTTGAATACCTCATTTAATCTCCTCCTGACATAGTTTTTTAAAAAAATTAACACTGACAATGAAATTAAAGATATAATGAGAAATTTAAAAAATCAAAAGCTACAATAAATAAAGAGCCAGCATAAATACCTCATGAAAATGGCATCCACATGTGCCCTGCAAAAACTCCTTGTATCGCCCCATTGTTATGGTAAATGTGTCAACCACTTCATAGCCATAGGTTTTTGCAGCATCCAGAATAATCACATTTTCTTTCCATAAGTTCTGAACTTCACTCTGTATTGCAACAGAGAAGAATGGAAATATTTTTTTATTTAAATTCAATTAGAATGAGACTTTTTATTAAGAGGATTGTTTTATGATTTAATAACTCAGATAGAAATCATGTGAATATCATCATTTTTACAGATTGGTCCCACTGCAAGAAAAATAATTTCACATGCATTTCTTAAACAAAGATGTGTTATCAGTTTTTTACTCAAAATATAAATACAAACATTTACGTATGTATAAAATGGCAACACATAAATATCTAGAATGACACACAGTTTGGAACTCTTCCTTCTATGAAAAGTAATTAGGTTTATTTCCCACAAAGGTTCATTGAAATATTTAAAATTCTCACTTTAAAAGTCAAAATTTGAACACCACAAAGGCTATCTCCATCTATTTAGATTCTTAATCATTTAGTCATTTGAATATTAATCAGTATCTGTTCTGTGCTTAGCTCTGTGCTAAGGGACAATACAAGGATAAATAAATCATGTCCCCTGCTCCTAAGACATTGCATTCCAATAGGAGGGACAGATTTGTAAACATTTACTAAGACCTTTATTGGATGTAAATATCCTAGACTCTGGGCTAGTAGGGAAGAGGGAATAGCTGAGTGGGGCAGGGGGACAGCTAGACAGTGAGGCTTCAGGGAGGGGTTCCAGAGCAGAGTGAGGTTTGCCTGTTGGATGGCGGTGGGGCAACAGAGAAGGGGAATGTGCTTCAGGGAACAGCCGAAGTGACTGAAAGCTCCAGCTGCTGCTTCTCAGGATCATATTCTTCCCTCCCTCCCCAGTCATGTCCAAAGCAATGATGGTGCTTGGCAGAAAGTCTAATTCAGGCCCACTGTTGAGAGGAGGGACCCCTCTGCTAACTATTCCAGCTCTGGGATTTCTCATCAGCTTGACTAGTACTTGCTCAGACTTTCCCAGACTGACCTGTAGTTTCTGAGGTCTGAGACTCTTCCTACCTCATCCATCCTTCTTCCACTCCTTTCACATCAGACAATTATAGCCAACCACAGTGCCCAATAGTGCCCAATATATAGTAGACACTCCAAAAATATTTGGTGCAAGATTGAGTGATATGCATTAGGTGCTGGGGCCTGAAACTCTTCCTGCCTCCTCAGCACCCTTCCCTTTATTCTTTCCAGACATTCTCCCTAATAAATTCCCTTCCTCTGCTAATTCTGTCTACTGTCGGTTTCTTGGAGAACCCAAACTGACAGAGGAAGGGACTGCTCTTGCCTTTTCTAAAGGATAAAAATGCTTCTCATTTTTCAGTTGAAAAAGTAAATCATGGGGACGCTTGGGTGGCTCAGTTGGTTAAGCGTCTGCCTTCGGCTCAGGTCATGATCCCAGGGTCCTGGGATCGAGTCCCACATCAGGCTCCTTGCTCAATGGGGAGCCTGCTTCTCCCTCTCCCTCTAGTCTCCCTGCTTGTGTTCTCTCTCTCTGTGTCAAATAAATGAATAAAATCTTTAAAAAAAGAAAAAGAAAAAGAAAATCACTTGCTTTTGTTGATCCAACTGCAAGGTAAAAGAAGCAGTACAAATATGTCTAATTTTCTGTCTTCTCCACTGTGTTAGCATATCTATCTTTAGGTGACATCTAAAGAAGAGTGTTCCCCCCAAAATAAAAGTAGTGAATAGAAAAATTCCTAAAGAAGAAATCTAGAGGAAAGGGACGTATGTGAATTTGGTTTATGTCATCATGTGAACAATGATGTTCAATATTGTTTGTAGACTTCTTGTCCAGTTACAAGTATTTTCTCAACTTTAATATGTCTAGCTATGAAAGGTATATGGAACTTTACAGTAAGCAGTTTCTAAAGAGAGTTTTCTAGAAAAGGTGGGTTCTCTGGAAAGCAGATTCCTGAGATGGGAATTTGCCTGCAGGAGGCTGACGGGAGAGTGTTTGGGGATCAACACCGGTAAGGAAGTGATGTAGTTCTGGAGTCAGAAGTGCTACCATTGCGCCACGAGGTCGGCCAGAAGTGATGTAGTTCTAAGAGAGGCTTTTGTGCATCCCCCAGGGGTTCTAGAGCTGGCCTGGTCCCTCCAAGATGGCTCAAATTAGGGAAAGGGGGCTGAATCTTGGTACTCCTACACTGGGAAGTTGGGCCTGGGCAGCAAAAGGCAATTCCTGGCAAGAGTCAGGTGGGAGTCCTTACAGGGCCATACTCCCAGTGGCCCAGGTGAATGAATGTCTCAGTCTTGAAGGGGGGATCTGGGAGGAGCCAAATCATGTGAAGTATCACTCACTCATTCTCGCGTGAGGTATTTTTTGAGATTCTACTACGTGCTGAGAATTGTGTTTTGCATTGGGGGTACCAGAGTGAGCAATGTAGCCCTCCCTCCTGTCCTTGCTCTCGCAGAAATTAGTCTAGCCGGGGAGACAGACAACCAAGGATTGTATCTGTTGAGAGACATAAACAAAGACACACGGCCCTATTATAGGAGCTCCTGGCAGGAGTAGCCAATGGAGTTTAGTGTGTCAATTAAGTCTTCCCAGTGGTAAACTAACACTGGAAGGGTAATTAGAAGTTGTTCAGGTGAAGAGGTGGTGGGAGAGTGGGCTCCACGAAGAGGGAATAGTGGTTTCATAGATCTGCATGTGCCTGAGAGCCTGGCGTGCTTGAGAAACTGAAAGTTGCCCAGTAGGACTGAGCTCAGTAGTGGTGCATGCGTGCATGTGTGCATGTGTGCATATGCATGGGTAGCAAGTCCACAGAGAACAGTAGAGGCAAGCTCTTGAATGGCCGCGCAAGAGTGTGACCGAGTCCAGCCTTAGTTCCTGCCTCCACTTGCTATTATGCCTTTCTCTTTCGTTCTATTCTTTCCCCTCCACTTCTCCCCTCCTTTTGTCTTCTTTCCATATGAGACGACTGATGAGGATCATTAAAGCTATGGTGGGAGGCATACTATTCAACACAGGATCTGGTGCATAAAAGTGCTGTAGAAATGTTTGCTATCTGCTGACATGAATTGATTTTGAGTTTGGAACCTAAATATAACTAGGGGTCGTAAGTACTCCAGTTCCTGCAAGGGGTAAAGTGGGGGCTCAAAGCAGAGTCCTCCAGAAGGAACTGTAACCTTGACTGTAGACTTCGAAATAACAGTCAAGGAGAGTCAACTCAAAACCATTATCAAAAGAACTCTCGTCTAATCCCCAATAGCCTCCAACACTTCAGCTACCCCAGATGCTAAATACCTCAACTCATCTTAAGTGACTTTCCCCTCCCCACACTCCCTCTAAGAGGCTGAATTTGGAGACTTGACTTGGGCCACATTCTACCAGTTCTCCTGATTTTGCATCTGAGATCTGGCACCGAGGCGGGCAAAGTTTTGAGAAGGCAGAGGGGATCATGTCATCTGTTCCAGGGAAAGCTAGGAGGGCTCAACATAACACACACACACACACACACACACACACACACACACAGAAATCTCACTCAATTTATACAGTAAATGGACAGCTTCCAGTCTCTCCCGGGGCTCCCTGGAGCAAGCACATACAGTCCCGGTCGCCCGTGAACTCTCCTTACTCGAACGAGAGCAGCTGGTTCTCTTACCCACAGATGCTGCCTTTCTTTTCTTTTCTGAGACTTCTATTCAGTGCTGAGACCATTTTACTCTTTTCTGTAAGAACTGGTCAGAGGCCTCTAACTCCTCCCATTTCTGAATATCCAAGCAAAGGAAAAACTAATGATGCTACTTCAAAGACTTTTTTTTTTTTAAAGCAATCAGCCAGAAATCATCTTCAAAAAAGCCACTCTTTCCCAAAGTGCTCATTGATACCGACAAGTTCATTAGTGGTTTCAGCATAAGTCTTTAAAGGTGTATGAAATGTTAGTGGGGTAAGGGGATACTTAAAGATTAATCTTTCTCATCTACCCCTCAGTTCTTTACTTTTTCATAGCATGGTGTCTCCTTTCTTTTCTTATAGCTCAAAGCATTATTCACAACGTGTTAATGGGATATGGTCGCCTTATTTCCAGGAATAAGCAAGTATAACTGATTTGAAATCCTAATCCTTAAGTACGTTATCTCCTTTGATTTTTATGAAGGTGGCTGAATCTTATATAGTGCCTTGTAGGTCCTTTTTCAGACATCAGCAAAGATCCTTATAGGAACCATAAAGTTCACGTAGCCTGGAGGGAATGAGCCTACCTGTGTCAAGAAATGCAATCCATCCACTGGGAGATGAAATCCAATTCCCAAAGTTTTGATGATCACAAGGATATTGAGTAAATTTTCCCTGAGAAATAATCAGAATTCTGAGGTCATAAACTTTGATTACATTTCTTGGTGTTTGTGCTTACATAAACAAATACAATGGAATTCTTTTAGGATGTGATAATTGGCATATAAGACCAAACTCTCATTTTATAGATTTGGTATATTTTAGGGTTTTGGTTTCTCTTTTTTTTTGTAGACAGGGTTTTATGTGTCAGTGGGCGTGTTTTTACCTGTAGTAAATATAAATGTGGATACTGAAGAGCTCTCTTGTGATTGGATACAAAAAGTATTTTGAAACATTTTAAACTGGACTTCAAGTATGTAGTTCTAAATTACAAGCTGCTTTTTCCATAAAATCTTGATAAAATTGAGTCACCTCAAAGGTGACTTTTCTTTTTCACTTCGAATACTAATGACAATTCTTGTTGCAGAAACTTACCTCTTCAAAACCTTGTGAATAATTTGTAGGTGATTGGAATTGAGCCACTGAACACCACCGACGACCAATACCGTCCGGCCCGTGTTCTCCAGGGGACGGGACCTGAAATCCAGAAAGGAAAACAACACATGTTGCCTTGAAACAGATGCTCAACATTTTCTCAGCAGTGCCTCACATTTCACTGAACCATAGCTAGCATCCTGATCACCGGACCTCCTTGTCATTTCCAACTCGTGTTCAGCCATATTACTTGGGATTTAAGCTTTTCAGCACATTTGATGTACAAGGAGCAATTATGGCCCCCGGTAAAATGTCAGTCCATTGTGGCATTACGCCATCCATAATAGTTCCACTGTACCTTTGCAAGAGATGTTCGAGTGCTTTCTCAAACGTTGGTCTCAAGGAAGGGCTTATCCAGAACTGAGGATAATAGGAATAACTGATCAAAGTCTTCCCACCGTTGATGTTGTGATAGAATTTCATGCTGTGCACCTTCTGCCATTCCTGCAGGGTTTCATTTAGTCTTTCGATCAGATAGTACATTATTCCTCGGTTGGTTGAGTCTCCGATGAAAAGAACCTATGAGGTAAAGAAAAATATTTGCTTTCAAATCTGATGTTTACATGGTGTGAGAGACAATACAAAGTAAGTCATTTGTTGAATACTCCTAAAGGCACAAGGCTAATTCCTTGAAGGAAAGCCCTTTCAGCTGTTAGAAATGACATTCATCATATCCTCCCCCAAACCTGTTCATTTTCCTCTCTTCCATATTCCTCACAATGCTATCAGCCTCTGACCTGCTTACTCATGTTGAAATCTTGCTTTCTGCTCTCTTGTTTCTCCATCTCCCTTAGGCACTTTGCTTTCCCATCTAACGAGCTTAACAGATTTTATGGATTCAAATAGGCATGAGGTATTTTAGTGCTGTAAGAATACTTCCAACCTCTTCATTTCATAGATAAGAAAACTGGGAATCCACTGAGGTTAGACAGCTCAGTAGAAGTCACGCCACTGTTTGAGAAAAGAGCCACAGAACTGGAGCCTGAGTCTCTGAAGAGCCATCTGTGTCCCAGGGAGCGAACCCCAGCCCCATTGGCCCTGGAAGACTCCTACTTACCCGTTCCTCCATGCCCCGCCCCCCTGTGAAGCAGCTCTGCTTCAGGCTCCTGTCACCCCAAAGCTGTGGGAATGGCTGCCCTCGAAGTCAGGCTATATGCACAGCACTACTAGGAGAAATTTCCCAATGCCTACTTCGGATCCTCTCACTTTCGTGCTCAAAAACCTTACTGGCTGTCCATTTTCTACAGAATCAAGCCCACGTGACTTAGGTTCAGCCAACATTTGCAGAAATTTTATTGCATATCAGACTCTGCTAGGTGGAGATTTCACACGGGGCACCCCTTTTTAATCATAATGGTGAGGTTTGAGTCATTATTTCCATTTCACAGACGAAGAATTTGAAGCTCAAGGAGATTGAGGTCATAAATCTAGTAAATGGGGAATGCAGGACTAGAACCTAGGCCCTTTGACTCCAAGTGCAGGGTCAATGGTCCCGTCTTCTCAATGCTTCCGCTCGTGTAAGCAGGTCAGATTCCTACTTTTGCGCTGAACATGATTTGCACTCTCCCACAACATCTGTTTCCCCTTGTGCTAATCCGCCTGCCTAGCAAGCTCTTCCCTCTACAACCCCACCTGTGTAAACGCTACACAACCTCCAGACCCCAAAGAAACAACCGTCTGTCCCAGTGGGTCTTGTCCAAGGCCCCAGCTTGTCCAATGACCTTCTCTGTCCTCTGTGATTTCATTACATTTTATCAAAGACTACATGACATTATGGCTATTTGTGTCTGTATCTTTTTTCTCCTATCACATCAAGAAATATTTGAGGTCAGAGTCAGGGTTAATTTCTAAATTTTAATTTTCCCCATACTACCATGCATACACTTTAAAAATATTTATTGAATTGAAAGTCAAAGGGACTTTTGTTAGAGACAATCCTTTTTAATGTCTTTGGACAGGTTTATTTCATTCTTCAGCTTTCTCTCTCTGTGTTGCGATTTCTCTTTCTGTTAGTCATGCACATATTTTTCTCTGATTTTAACAGCAGTCATTGCTGTCATTTCTCAGGACTACAGCATTTGTCCATACACAGCAAAGTGAGTGAGAATCTGCAAATTTCATTCTTCCATGGTAAATGTATTCAATAAGCTGTGTGAGGAAATTCCCAAAGCATCTCCGATTTGCCCTCAGATAGAACACCCAAAGCATTGTCAAGCTAAACTGAAAAATTTAAGATGTCAAGGCCCCAGTCACTGATCCTCTCAATCAAGTTCTGTTTGTGGCAATAAAATTCTAGTATGATAAAATAATTTGTGAAATCACTTGAAATTCTTCTTACTGGATGTAGCCTGTATAACGATCTGTTTTTCTGGTCTAGATTTCTGATTTTTAAAAGGGAAATTTAAATCATCTGGAAAGCTCTTAATTTCAGATACTAGTAATTACCCAGCTCCATCTGTACTAGTTTGCTGGGGCTGCCATGACAAAGTACCCCACACTGGGTGGCTTATGCAACGGAAATTCATTTTCTCATGATTCTGGAGGCCAGAAGTCCACGATCAAGGTATTTGCATGGTTGATCTCTTCTGAGGGCCTTTCTCCTTGTCTTGTAGATGGTCATCTTCCCTCTGTGTCTTCACATGGTCTTTCCTCTGTGTGCGTCTGTGTCCTAATCTCCTGTTCTTGTGAGGACACCAGTCACACTGGATTAGAGCCCGCCCATAAGACCTGATTTCACCTTCATTACCTCTTTAAAGGCTCTACCTGCAAACACAGTCACATTCTGAGGTGTTGGGAGTTAGGACCTCAATGTATGAATTTGGCTGGGTGGGAACACATTTCAGCTCTTAACACCGGTAAAAGACCTTTAAGATCAGCTCTTAAACTAAAGTGTCACTACAGGTTTTCCGACGGGTTCTTTTCATTACGGTGTGGAGATGCAATCCCTCCTAGGGTATCTCCCGGCAGCCAGTAAGATCACTGGGGGTCTGTATTGTGGTCTGCAGGGAGCGATCCAGGGGTTTAGGAAAATCAAAGTAGCTGCATGTTACTGAGAGAAGAAATCTTGAGCTTTTGTTCTTTTCTGTGGGGTGATACAAAGATGCAGCCCACAGAAAATGTCAGAGGCAAAAAGAATTACATGTCAGAATTCTTAGGTACAGTAATTTATTAACCTAGACAATCTTAGATAAAATATGACTGCTCCAAAGCTTCCTTCTCTTATGTGTAAAATGGGGGAATATAACAGCACCACCTTAGAGAACGTCAGTGAGATGTTCATACCCGTCTTGTTCCTGGTGCACGGTAAGCTCCCAATGTGAGCCAGCATGAAGGCACAGGAAAGTGTAGTGTTTGTGAAGGCATCCAGTGGGCCTTGCAGTGCATTGCTAGGCACTTTAAATTCATTAACTTGTTTAGAAGAAACGTCAGAGAAGAAGGGGAATGTCTCAGTCACAGCACTTGCCCTGCGAACCCTGCTGCAGATCCCCAGCAGGACTCACAGGGCTGCTGGTGAAACTGGAGCTCTGGATGGAGAACCGGAAGAGAGATCGCCCCCCTGAGCAAACCGACACTCTCAGAACCACCTCTCACCTCTCCATCCCTGACTAGTGACCAACAAGACCTGCGGGGATGGGAGAAGGAAGCCTCATCACCAACATGTGCAAGACGAGTGCTAAACTGCAAATAACTAGGGAGCATTTTTCAAGTCTAGCGGACACAACTCTGGGAAGAATATTTCCTAGAGAACTGTTTTCTCCCGATGCCTTTCTATTCATGAAAGAGAGAGATGATAAATTGTAACTAAAATGAAAATGCAGTTGTGATTTTAAGATGGCCTGTTCTGTAGGGGAGCAGTTTTTGTAAGAGGCTGATGGATATTCTTAACTAAAAGAGTTCTAACTTCAAAAGGTCAGTTCTCTTAAGTGCACATACACAATTTAAAAGTAACATCAGGGAATAGAGTGGGTTCCCCGCCCCCAGTTACATGGCTAACAGTTGAACTTCATATCTTTTAGATCATTCAATTTGGGGAATTTTCAAAAACGACATTTGTAGATTATTTGTTTTAAAGGTCAACCTTAAAAGGCCTAAATTTCTGGGCGCCTGGGTGGCTCAGTTGGTTAAGCGGCTGCCTTCGGCTCGGGTCATGATCCTGGAGTCCTGGGATCAAGTCCCGCATCGGGCTCCCTGCTCGGCAGGGAGTCTGCTTCTCCCTCTGACCCTCCTCCCTCTCATGCTCTCTGTCTCTCATTCTCTCTCTCTCAAATAAATAAATAAAATCTTAAAAAAAAAAGGCCTAAATTTCCATAACAAATATCCATAACTGGCCATAGAATTTGTAAATAATTCTTCTCTCCCGTGAATATTATTGCCCTACACTAGTATGCACAGGTACTGGCTGGCACAGGCAATTAATGAAAAAAAAAATTGTGCTCATTAAGTACAAATAACCAGTAAGCAATTATAAAAATGACCAATGTCAGCAATAAAACATCAAAATAACTAGTTATTCCCCCTACCAAAATAGCAAAGATTTTGAAAGCCCCTACAGTCTTATGAGCTCAGGGAAATGAACCCTCTCACTTACGACTGTGTGAGCGCCACGAGGGCGAGGTTTTATCTTCTTTCTTTCTTTCTTTCTTTTTTTTAAAAGATTTTATTTATTTGACAGAGAGAGACACAGCGAGAGCAGGAACACAAGCAGGGGGAGTGGGAGAGGGAGAAGCAGGCTTCCCGCAGAGCAGGGAGCCCGATGCGGGGCTCGATCCCAGGGTCCTGGGATCATGACCTGAGCCGAAGGCAGACACTTAACGACTGAGCCACCCAGGCGCCCCTATCTTCTTTCTTTTCAACTGTTGAATCCCAAGTTCCAGAATAATGCCTGGCATAAGAGTTGGTTCTCATGTGTTAAATGGATGAATGGGAAGTTTGCTGTCGTGTGTCAATTGGCAGATTTTAAGGAATTCCACTTCTAGGAAATATTTAAAGATGTCTATTACAATATATTTTAAAAGCAAAATACATTGGAAGCAGTACAAGCGTCTACCAGATTCCTTATATTAAGGTATAATCATCCACTTGAATTTTTTTCATCTTTTAACAATGATACTATAATATGGATACACTGTGATGGGGAAGATTTCAGTTAGCTTTTATAAAAAGCTTATTGCAATCAGAATATAAGTAATGATGGCACGTTTGTGAAAGTAAAGCGTGTGGATGTGTAGAAGTGGTCGTGGAAAGTTACCCATGGTTATTTTGAAGGGGAGGATATGACAGTTTATTCTCTTTCCCAAAATGAACATATATCAGCTTTTTATGACAATAATAAAAAACCCACAAAAGCAGCTGCAGTGATAGCAGTAACAGTAAGTCCGTTTTGTTTAAAAATGCTTTGAAAATTCACATTAAAAATAATCAGCTTAAACAAATTTTATTTCAACTTTTGTGAAACAATGGCTTAAGGGTCGGTTCAATTAAGCCCATCACGGGAATCATGTGACTCCTATTTTGGATCA